CCAACTTTTACCATCGACACTTCCTTAAAGAGGCTAGCTATTCAGGATATCATGTCTAGGCCGCTTGATGTGCGTAAACGCTTCATTTTTGAGCCTGTTACCGATAGAATAGTCAGGAAAATTATACTCTCCATCTCGAGTAAAGCTATTGGAGGCGACGCCATAGGCCGAGATTTAATTATTCCCATCCTTGATCAAATCCTACCAATTATCACCCCTATTTTCAATTTCTCCCTCACCTCAGGACAATTTCCTACAGCCTGGAAACAGGCCTTCATCTTACCTATCCCTAAAATTTCAGACCCTATGGAACTTTGTCACTATCGTCCCATTTCCATTCTTGTCTAAGGTCCTCGAAAGGGTAGTTCAATCTTAGTTATTGCGCTACCTTATATCCCATAAACTACTGAACAAGTTCTCATCTGGCTTTCGTCCAGGGCATAGCACCTGTACGGCTCTAATCAAGATTACTGGTGATATTCGCAGTGGTATAGATGACACACAACTAACTCTACTAACGCTACTACAATTCAGTAATTCTTTTAACTGTGTTGACCATGACATACTTATTTGTATTCTGAACTCTCTTAACATGTCTACCGATGTCGTCCAGTGGTTCACCTCCTACTTAAATGATCGAAGTCAGCGCGTAAATGTGGACGACAGTTTCTCAAACTGGCGTAATGTATCTGCAGCGGTCCCCCAGGGTGGGGTGCGCTCACCTCTACTTTTCTCCATATTTATAAATACTTTATCTTGTATTATTGCACATAGCACATGAAGCAAGTACAATCTGTATGCTGATGACCTGCAGCTATATATAACTACAACATGGGCTGATCTAGTGGTTACTATGGGAAAGTTGTCTCTCAACCTTGATAACATTAGACATTGGACGGAATGGTATGGGCTGCTTATTAATTCTTCTAAAACCCAAATTTTCTTGGTGGGTAGCCCTAGAATTCTGTCATTGATTGACTTCCTTACCCTGGCACCTGTGACATTTAATAGCTTAAAACTTCCCTTTTGTAAGACGGTTAAAAATCTTGGGTTGCATATTTCACAAGATCTTTTATGGACTTTTCACGTCATGAAATAAATAAGAACGTTGCACGAAGAATAAAAAATAATAAAAGAAAGTTAATAACATATTACATTTCTTTTCTTTTTATTGTTTAATTTTTAAAACCTTAATTTTACTTTAGGAAGACATAAAAAAATTGATGTTCTATTAAGTATAGATATGAAGGGGGGGGGGGGGGGGTCACAAAATAATTCATAGAGCTTCTGCAATGATTAAAGGAGCTCAGATAGTAAGTCAAATATCAATAATAAGGTGCAATAAATAGTATTTTAAAGACTTCATCTTCCAAACTGGGCGATACCTGTATCTTGGGTTACCTATACCGTTATTCTGAGTATGCATTAAGCAAATACAAAATATATTAATGGAAGGAAAGAATCAAAAGTGTGTTTATGTGAGTAAAAAATATAAATTCGGTTTCCTTGCAACTGCGAGAGTACATTTTTTTTACATTTTTACAATATTGTATTGCTTAAGGACTTCGTTGTAAATATGGGGTTGAACAAAAGAAATCCTTATCTAAATGAGAGGCACCACGCGAGGAATGAATTCTGAAAGTAATTTTTATTAGTAAAGACTGGTAATCAAGTATTTTTTTCACACTTTCATGCAAAAGTAATAAAAGTTCCTTTTATAATGAATACCTGCTTTACTCTAAAGACTGGAAATTTTCCGTCGAGTAAATCGCAGCATAACTTTCATGACTGCTCTCTGGGCTTTCAAGATCAATAAAAGTGCTTTTACCAGTTTCGTTTCATAACAAAAATCGATAACGAAGAATACATTGGCAGATTGATGGATGCTGGAATTTGGGTTAGTGTCGTAGTTGCTTGATTATAAAAACAAGTTTTGTTAAATTGAAGTATGAGTCAGTATATTATTGACATAGAGAACGACAGGAGTCGGGTCAAGTATAACGTCCTTAGTCAATGACAAGTAAACGACTTGACTGCCGACACTTGAAAAACGGTTATCCGTCACGTTCAGTAGCTTTGAAACTACTCAAGTGGATATCCCACTTTGACCATTGTCACCAATTGAAATAATTTTAAATCCTGTCTCTTGGATTACTTGAAGTCGCGACAATTTTTCCGCTGAGCATAGAATTTTAAACTCTCTGTAGTATCAAAGTATTGAGTAAATTTTCATCATTTCGTTCGAATTATCGTTGTAAAACGATATTCGAAATCGTTTGTATGCTGGAAAGGACAAAACAGTGGATGCGCCAAGCATTGCTTCAAATGCAGAAAACAATGTAGATAAAGGACGTTAAGAATTTCGTCGGCGTTAGGGCGCGAATCCCTTTATAACAAAAGCGAAAAAATGTTTGGTTCCTTTTTTCTACAAATTTGGGTAATAAAAAGGTAAGATTATTTTTCATGGAGTATCCCTACAATTGAACAGCCATCAAATAACGTCTTATAAATGTGCAACGTGAAAATCCAGCAAAGTCAAAGAACAACTTCCAGGTGGTCTTGGAGCCAATCATGCCTGGATAGTGTGGTAGTTCTATGCGGGAACAAGGCTATGTAAAAACAAAGTGTTCACTTGGTGATCGTTCCTCACATTTTTTTTGTAAAAAAAAGCTAATACTACTAGTTATATTAAACTAGTTAAAATAACTAACCTTCAGTGAGACAATAAATTGCGAAAACGCGATTTCTCCCCGACGTGAAGGGCGTTAAGGAAATTACGAATATGATTGATGATCATTACACTTGCATTAAAGAGTAGTTTAATAAAGTGTTGAATCAGAGCATAAAGTTAACAAAAGAAATCTGGGTAAAAACTAAAAAAATATTATGAATGTTGGTAAATTTGATATCTAAACCATTCCCTAGAATATAATCCATGGGCGATGCGATAAGTAAGTACACAGTTACTCTAAGTACTCTTGGAACTAGAAATTTTATAACGATTTTTAGGGTTCCGTACCTTAAAAGGGCAGAAAGGAACCCTCATCACTCTCTTGTACGTCTGTCAGTCCGTGTGTCACCACCGATTTTCGTAGAAATGGGTGGACCTTGCAAGTTGTATATAAGGTGTATAACAATCAAGGTCTTGAGTGAATACGATAAAGGATATGGGCAAATTTAGATTTTCGCGAAAAATTATAAATACCAAAATTTACCTTAATTTCCAACTTTTTTTTATTTTTCGAGATTTTTCCTTTATCTGTGTTGCCTTGCTTTTTGCCATATTTTGTGTTCCTAGGTTAACGGGAACTATCAGATAGGTTTTGGACTCAAAACCTATAGGTTACTTCCGGTTGACCTAGAATTTTCAATTTTGGTTAAAACAAGTTAACTTACAGCACTTAAAGAGAAAATTCCGAAAAATAAAGAAAGTTGGAAATTAAGGTAAATTTTGGTATTTATAATTTGCATATCTTTTATCGTATTGACTATAGATGGAGAAGTGAAATATATACTAAATACTAAGGATTTAGTATATATTTCACTTATATCGTAAACACTTGCTAGGTCCATCCGTTACTGAGATCGGTGGAGATTATTTACCAATTTTATTATGGTGGTACAATGGGTAGGTACACAACCCTCACCGTATGAATTCGGCTTGCACTTTACTGGTTTTTAATTTAAAAAAGTAAGACAAGGCTTGTTTGAAGGATTTAATTGAACATTCCTCAAATCTGCACGGGCATCTGGATAATATCCAAAGTTGAATTACAGAAAAAAAGAAAAAAAAATTGTGAATATAACATATAATGATAATTTTATAGGTACCTTCTTTCATTTTATCGACGTACTCATAAGTTCTATATATTATTTTCATATAATATAGGTTATTTATTATAATAACATTGGGTACACAGACTTTAGCCCTTTATGTAAATAGTTTATTTAGTTGAATGGTTTTAATTGTCTATGAAATTTTACTTAGATGAAGCGTTGATATTAACTTATATTTAATAAAATTAAACGGTAGAAATAATAATCTATAGACATAAACTAAAAATACACAGAAAGAGTTTAAAAAAGCGATAACGAGTTTACTTTCTCTGGCAGTGGTTTCAATGTCGGCCTTCTTTATTATAATGAGCACGTCTATATTCTGTCTCAGCCAATTGTTTGAGACGCAGGTGCTCTAGAAGGATATCGAAGTTTTCAAACTCCTTGTGTTCCTTTGAACGAACGCCTTTGGGTAATATCAGGTATTGACCGCCCGGTCCACGGGTATAGTCTCTACCTCCTGTCTTCATGTATCTGTAGTCCAGTATAACAGTGGGTTCGTAATAATTTGGGTCATATGTTCTTCGAATAATCCTGAAAACAGAGAAGTACACAAAAATTTCATACAGATTATTCTTCGGGTTAGTTTTAATCCTCTTATTAATTGTAAATTTAATTTAAGATTTAGTACGAGTAAATGTTATAATAATATAATATACTAATTAATTTATAAAATATTTAAGGGCATTTAGGAAACGCAAAAAATGTCTCTATAAAGTAACAAAATTAAACCTATTCAGAAATATTACATTTAATAAATATAAACATTTATGACTATGTCATTACGATTTTGTATTTACTTAATCTTATATACTTTAATAATATTAGTATTGTTCATTTACACAAAAAATAAACGCTTTCCTAATAGATAAATGGATTTCGAGGTTCACGTTTTAAGCCTATCACAATAAAATTAATAAAATTTTTAATTTTTTATAAATTTTTAAATTTAAATTTTTTTATAAATTTAAACTTCTAATCTGATTTGTTGGAAGAGTTAAAAATACTTACACATTTTGCCGCTTTACATCAGGACCATAGTCCTGTAAAATTAAGTGATGAATACTGTTAAAAGTTAAAAACGTCCCTATATAAAAATAATGAAAGAAGAAATTTAAAATTAGGTATATAATACAATCTATTCATATAAAGTAGTGAGATCATACGTCCTCATCAGCTATTTGGTCCGATCGAGTAGAACGCAGCACATGGGGGCCCGGAAGTGGCTCGTGGTGGTAGTGGTCATTCAAATGATCATCGTAACTAGCCTGAGGTGGATTTGCAGCTTCGGCATGTTCTTGATCTTTTTCAGCAAGTACCACAGTCACCGCAACGGCTACAAGAAGGAGCTGCTAAAAAGACAATCAAAATATCTAGGTTTTAAAAAATAGAAGTCATCAGTAACTGTTGGACTTGCCTCCTTTACCTGCTAAATTACGGATATATTACCGGTCTACTATACTTTCCAGACAATATCAATTACTAATTGAAACATTGAATTAAATTTTCCCTTGAACAGATAGAACATAATAAACCAAATTTAATGTTATTATGTTATCTATTTCAGTCGGTCGATCATGCGAAGTAAAAAAGATTTTTGAGATTTAAGTAATAAATTAAATTGAAGCTTTTCAATTTCACAATATTATTTCTAACCTAATAAATTTGCAATAATGGCATCGACTGTTACCAAAAAATAATTAGCACATAGGCGCATAAGCATAGTATATTATGGTTAATATTAAAATCGTGTTTGCTTACTTGACGCATGTTCACAGTTCGTGATCACTACTCAAATAATAAGGCCTATTCTTTCTAGTTAAATATCAGTATGGTTAATTATCTTACCGGATTCGTCGTAATTTCCAAAGTATACATTGATGTTTAATCATTTAATGATAGGTTTTAAAGTAACGAGTTAAATCTATTCTTAAAGCGCATTTACCGAACGGAATTACAAATGCATAGCCTTCATAATTTTTGACCTGATCAATATTCTTGATGCTCAGATGCCAACTTTCAATTTCGAAGGCATTTCGTATTGCTATTTGTTTTAATAAATTTGATTAAATATAAAAAAATGTATACAACTGCTTAGTTAAATAACATTTTTAATGAAAATATTTATTAAATTAGTTTGCCAAGGTTTTTAATTATATTCTCTGTTTCATTTTTAGGTAAGTTGAAGTAATTAAGTAATTAACAAAGCCTTTATTTCTTTGTTTGTTTTTTATATGGAGTCTTCCTTAATGTCATACTTCTTTATGGTTTTATTATATACTAGCTGCTGCCTGCGATTACGGCTGAAGGCGTAACATTCAGACAGAAATACATAAAATATGTATGTCTTATTCTGATGTAAAAGGTATATTATTGTAAAGTTTCATTAAAATCAATCAGTGGTATTTGCGTGAAAGAGTAACAAACATCCATCCATACATACAAACTTTCGCCTTTATAATATTATATATAATATATAATATTCACTATAATTTTGTGTTGTTTTAGATCTAATTTTAATACAAAAGTTTGTCTAACATTAAGGAATTTTGCCTCTAAATTTAGGGATTTAGTGGCTTAGTGGCGAATCTCCCAAGTTTGTTGAGCAAGACTTTTAAAACTGATCTCTGAGCTCGCTTTAGCTCAATCATAGCAGAAATATTGCACCAATATTAGACCCACCCCAAGAATCAATTCAGTATGTGATTGTTGATTCACACAGCGCGGTGTACACTAATCGACATATCTAAATGTCTGCAATACACGTAGGCTGTATTACATGGGTCAATTTACGTACTCTGCTAGCTATTGCTGTTATGTGCGATTTGAAGGATAGTTGGTCATCAATTAGTACACCAATTGCAAATGTCAGGTTTTGAACAGTGAGCGTGAATTTTAAGATATATCGCTTTTTTCGGTTCGGATGCTTTATTTTTGTGAAATAAAGAAATTTGGTCTTGATAGTGTTTATTGTCAAGCAATTGTTATCTAACCATGTCTTTGCTTCCACTATACCCTTTTCATGCCAGGATTTGCCATGAAATACTAATGCAGTATCATCTGCATAGCAGACAATATTCATGCAGTTGTTGATGATGCTTTTGTAGATCATTCATGTACAATATAAATAATGTGGGACCTAAAACACTTCCATGAGATACACCGTAAGTAACAAGTAGTTGAGAGCTAAAAGAATCATCAACTTTGATGCATTGTTTTCTATTTGTTAGATGAGTACGAAACCACTATAATGGTAGACTTTTAACGCCAAAATATTCTAGCTTTTTAACAGGATTGACTGTGAAATTATGTCGAATGCCTTAGTTAAATCAAAAAAGATGGCTATACAGTTTCGTTTATTATCTAAAAGTGTAGAAATTTGATTAATTAAGCAGGCAACTGCATCTTCTGTGAAATGAGCAGGTCTTAAACCATATTGATGTTTATAAAGTTGAGTACTAACAAATTTATTAATTTCATTATTCGCTTTTCAAGAATTTTCGAATATATGTAATAAGAAATAAAAAATTAAAATAAAAAAAAGGTTAATAACTATACGGGTATGGGTCTGTAATTTTCGGGGCACGTTTTGGATTCATTTTTATAAATTGGGACTAAACATGGTGTTTAAATAATTACAATTCCCCGAATGTAATGTAATACAATCCACATGATATGTATATGTGTTCAATAAATGAATAAAATAACTTCAGTGAATATTCATGACTTCGAGTTGATTGGAGTTCCTTAAAAGCTTTTTTTTGATAAAATAATGAGGCACATGTAAGCTCACTTTATTCTGAAGTATGATTATTGCTCCATAGATAAATTTATAAAAAACGGGTCTGCTCTACTAAAGTCAGTTACAATAATCAAAACATTATGTCATTTTTGTTGTGTTCATTCGTTTATTACTGTTTGAGTAGTGAGTTGAAAGTTTTGTTTACAAAATACTTTCTAAAATAAATACGTTCATTATGCGTTCGTGCATTTTTCATTCGATTGACTGGAAACTTTGTACAGTTGATATTGGCACTTGTGTAGAGGTTTATATACTTATATTATTACTTAATACAATTTAAATACAACAGGTGGAGCGCAAGTTATGAAAAAAATTTGTCAGGCATCGTTTACCCGATTTAATAGATACCTTATACAGATGTCACAATAAATATGGAATTATTCGGTAGAGTTCTCAGTTTACTATCGAGTATTCGACGAGAATTTCGACAAGCACTACACGAGAAGTCCAGGGTATTAACGTAACAAATATTTAAAAATATTGAGATAAATAAGAGATCAAATTTATATGTACATATATACCACGACCTCACAGAAGACTGGCGTGAAGTAGAAGTGTTATATTTCTGCGTTTCGTCTGGTGAGTTAGATAGCCGAGTCCCACTTTATTAAAAGATGGCAATGTATATGCAACCCTACGGATGTTACAAATGTCCATGGGCGACAGTTAGCACATAACATCAGGTGAACGGCCAGCTCGTTTGCCACTTTGTAACATACATATACACCGTGCCGTTAGAACCACGACAATAAATGAACACACTGTAATATATGTTTCCCTGTCTCGTTGTCGTATAAGTATATCTATGTATAATCGTTATTTTTAGTTATTTCTTATAGGAGATGAGTTATACACATTTAATCCAAAACAGCTATTACATACATTGCGTAGACTAACTTGTTGCGTAGATCAAACTTGAAATTTGAAAGCAATTGCGAAGATTATTCTAGATCAATATGCACAAATGCAGCAGTAACAGATTAAAATTCATAAAAAATATCTACTGTTGCATTATTTAAAATTGAAATGTGCACTCCTTATAGAAGAACAAAGTCCTTATGGGCAGGAGTATCAGAATTGGCTTAAAATATAAGTAAAAAGAGACGATATCAAATTTTGTGTAAAAAATATGTATTTCATTTGTGTAAATATTTTTTTTATCTTAGTATTTAGTTTTTTAATTAAAATTCCGGATATAAATATGAATTTTATGGGTTTCAGCTGGCTTCTATTTTCATATGAATTATCGTTAATAGTAGTGTCCATGGTATTGTCGATGTGGTTTGCTATGGGGATGATGATGATGATACCCACGATGGTGGTTGTAGTGATCATAATTATCATGATGATAGTCTTCAGCGTGATGGCGTCCATGATAATCATCATCATGATTGCTGCGCACATAATATTCAATAATACGATGTTTATGGTCATGATGTTCAGGCTCATGGTGTTCGTGAACTTGGTATTCAGGTTCATGGTGTTCTTCTTTATTTTCTCCGTGATGTTCTTTTTTATGATGTTCCTCTTCACGATTTTCTTCTTCGTGACGTTCTTCATCTTGGCGTTCCTCTTCGCGATGTTCCTCTTCATTATGTTCCTCTTCATGACGTTCCTCTTCATGACGTTCCTCTTCACGATGTTCATCTTCGTGCTGTTCCTTTTCACGATGTTCCTCTTCATGGTGCTCCTCTTCACGATGTTCCTTTTCTTCATGTTTATCTTCATGATATTCTTCTTCACGATGCTTCTCTTCATGACGTTCCTCTTCATGATGTTCCTCTTTATGCTCATCATGTTTGTCTTCAGGGTGGTATTTGTGGTGTATGACGATGTGATGTTCTGATACAGGTACGTGATGATCATCATCATGATTCTCTTCATGTTTCTCGTGGTCCTTGTGATGAACATGGTGAATGGGTTCTGAATATTCAACATCCGCATTGAATCTGAAAAGTTAAAAATAGTGCAGGAGCATTGAAAAATTGGCACAGTGTATTTAAGAAAGTTATTAAGGGCATACAATCATGCTAATAAGATTTACAATTCAATGAACTCCATACACGAAATAGATGAAGGAAAATGTGGGCCTGAATTGTAATACAAGATAAACCCCTGACAAATTATAATGCGTAATAAATAAAAACTAAATATAAAAAATATATTAAATATATATGATTTTTATATATAAAAATATTATTTTGTATACCCGCTATGTTTATCAGCTTGATACTTGACGGTGCGTTTACGGCCATCTGGCTGTATGAGCCAATACATGCCCTTTACTTCGTCTCCTTTTCTAGCTTCATCTTGTCCTTTTTGATCATGATTGTGGGGATCATCGACACGATATGAGAACTCGTATGATGGATACGTCCAAGCCTGAGGGACAAAATATTTATTACCAGGACGAATGAGTAGTTGTTGTATTATATTAGCTTTTTAAGTGTCAATAGTAAGACGCAATTACGCATCGCGACATATTTTCATCACAACCGATTAACCTGTTGCTCATTTGCAACCACTGTTTAAAATGATAATTAAGAAAATGGATTATTATTAGTTACAAGTGTTAATTAATTAGACAATCGTCAATGCAAAGCACATAAGGATCATATGATTTTATTACGAAATGCGCTTACGTATTCTTCATGATGCTCAGGAGCGTTGGGCCCAACGTGCGAGAGCTCACCATGATGACTGTGATGTACTGGAATATGGTGTATTACAACCTTATGTTCTGACACGGCGTGATGACCTTCACCCAGTACAGCCTCAGCAAGACAAAATAAAGTCACGGCCTGAAAACACTTTCCACTTAGCTTCCTGTTACATGTAATAAAAGTTGTTTAAATAAATTGCTTAGTTGGACAGCAGACATTTAATGAGATATCATTTGATACACATTTTTTAAGACGTAGAAGAAGTAATATAAGTTAACGCGATACGCTATTGCAGTGTTGTACAATACGAGTATCTACTACTTCATCTGTCAGTTTAAATAGAGAAAATGGCCTGATGCTGTCCTCACAAGTAGATTCTCGAGGATATGAGTCCAATTGCTCAAGCTGGCTTTTTATATCGCTGGCTAGACCAGTGAAGTTGAAAATTGGAAATTAAACTGGTCCTTTAGGGCTTCTTTAGACTTCGAATCATATTTTATCTTATGTCATTCGTAAAAGTACACTGAATTGTTATAAAACCGACGGCTAGCTAGAAAATCCATTAGGATTTATTTATAGGTTTCATTTAACACGAAGATTTAACTCAAGAATATTTAAAGTTAATAAATTAACCATACGACACAACGCATTCACAAAATAAACTTTTTGCATTCGTTTTAATGCGAACTTTGTTTCGTATGTTTAATTTTGAAGAAAACAAATAAATTAAAATACTCCAAGCAACAACGAAAAACTTATTAAAGATTTTAAAAATACCTTCAAAATCATTTTCTGTGGATTTCGTAAGGCTCTGAATTCAACTAATGTCAAACACAGCATCACCCACTTTTTATACAGAAGATAATATCATTATTGGCATTAAATATCGTACTTCGTATCCATGCAACTGCCATTATCATCAGTTTCTCGAATTAAATGCTCAGGGGCGCATTTATTTGCAATTTTAACATTAAACGTTATTCCTCGGCCTCCTAATATTTAGGTTTCATTTTCCAATGGATTATATACACGTAGTCTAAAAAAATCATAATACGTAAGTAATTGATGCGATTGCGATTATGGAGCTAGTATTCTCATTGTTGGATTCTATTCTGCGATCGGGGTTCTGAGCGCAAACAAAACATTCTCAACGGCACGGTATGTTCTCACGAGTAGATTTGTTAACAAGAGAAGTGAAATATTCTTACTACAGTATGAAGTATTCGTTATTTCCAAAGCTATAATGGACTTAAGAGTTCTTCCTGATTTATGAATTTAATATTTGGATAAACAAAACATTCACTGGCCATTATTCAGCAATAGACGTGATGAACTTGTTCAAAAGATTAAGAATTTTACTATTTCGAGCACCAGGAAATTTGCTCAGGTGAGTAAGGTTGTAGTAAGATAATCTGATTTAAAGAATACAAGGAACTAAATAATTTGTATATTATAAAAAAAACTAAGTATTTTATAAATTTCATTATTATAACAAATAAATGTCGTTTATTATTGAAGACATATATTGGGAATAGAAAAATGAAAAAGAGCTTTAAAAGAGCTCCTAGAGAGTTTTAAAAGAGCTGTTAATTATATAATTGAATATTTTTTGCTTTTGATAATTGAATAATTCTTTCTTGTTTTATAATTTATAACATAGGTAAATGAAAGTGTTTTAATGAAATATATTATATAAGAAGTCTTCTTTATGGTCATTAGTATAACGCCGATTCTAAACTTCTTTATCACTTTGTATTTAAAATAGAATGTATATCGATTGATTTTAGCGAAAAGTGTGAAGTAGAACACAAGTTAAATACTCATATAATAATAATAACAATGAAGCCCCTTTATTCCTTAACTTATAGAGTTTAAATACTCACATACGTTGGCTTTAATATGGGCATTATAGTGTATGTATTAATATTTGTAATGATTAGAGTATTTCGATAGCGTTTACTATGCCTTGCTTGAATTTTAATGTTAAGACCCTATATTATATTAAGAGCAATGCTTTAGCAACGAGTAATGCTTATTTTTTTAGGCGTAAAAATATTTAATCATTTTAAGTATATAACCTCGACACCGTAATTACTTGGTGAAAATTATACAATTTCGGATTATGTCATTGACTGTTAATTGTTTTACTGCTTCATCAATAACATAAAATGTTTTTAGATTCCAAACCAGAATCCTTTACAGTGTGTCGCCTTTTATTTTATATAAAACTGCAAATACAGGAAAGGTTTTGACGAGATTTACATCCATGTGACCTACTTCATCTTTTTCTATAAAAAATACTTTAACTTTTATGTGTCGAATTGATTTCTTTAAGCTCATTAAAAATTCTCAAGTTAATTAAAACCATTATGTGTTATAATTGGATCACTTTATGTGGATCTAAGTCAGTAACTTCGCACTGTATTGAGTTCAAGTGGGAGTTGGATAATTATAAAATACTAACGGTAAGTTCAGCATTTAAACTTTTACTGTAAACAAGTACTTTATTGGCTATTCTAGTAAATTAGCACAATAAATATTGGAGATTTAGAGATATGTAATTCAAAGCTATATGTTATTTAACTGTGGCACAGCCTCGTAATAGTCTTGTAATAGTTGTTGCACGAATGGGCAGTTTGTCTGGTAGTAAAAAGAAAAAATTACCACAACCTCACTGAAGACCAGAGAAGTGGAACTGTTACACTTCCGCGTTTCGTCTGGTGAGTTAGGTAGCCGGGGTCCACTTTATTAAAATGGGGCAATGTATATGCAACCCTACGGATGTTACAAATGTCCATGGGCGACAGTTATCACATAACATCAGGTGAACCGCCAGCTCGTTTGCTTGTTACATAAAGAAACCATTATATTTATTAATTTATTATTCTATACAATACGTAATTTAGATTTTTGTGTAATCTAGACATTCATTAAATTACTTATTATTTTTCTGCGGATCTGTAGATAGGAAGTTTTTTGAAGTTATACTTCTTTTGCATGTAAGGGAAAAATGATGAGAGTAAATTTTTGCGATGCGCGCGCACACCGTCACGAAAAACGACACCTTTTATTTAGCTAGACATCTACGTATATTTGCGTGTGAACTGACAACTGTATTCACAATATTTATTTTGTGCTATTTAAATAAAGTTTATTTAATTGGATAATGCGTTATGATAAAACTTTCAATGTACTAAATACCTTTTTTCTATTATTAGTGTCGTTTTTTTATTGAAATTATACTTATTTTGACGCATTTGGAAAAAATTATGAGATTAAAATTTATACAATGCGCACGCACACTGATAGCCAGAAAGAGATGATGAAGTTGGTTGCAAAGCGACCATCTTCACGATGGCAACCAATAACAACTTTTTGAGATTTACCTATAATTCCAAGTTATTTAATTTAACCATTATCATTTAATGTCCTTTTCACAAAGAGTGCTGGCATAGGGTATAAAATGTTAAGTTCTTTTCTTTTATTCCGTTAAAGAAGTATAACTTCTTATGTGCGTACATAAGTTCACAGATATTTTTTTTTAAATATCTTCCAAAACAAGCGGTTCAAAATTATTCAAAATTACAAAATTATTATGAATTTTTTTCGAATAGTGATAGTTTCATCTACTCATTTTTAAGTTTTATCTTAAGTGCGGAGACTACCAAAAATAAAATTTCAAAAGCAAAGGCGGCTCTAGTCTTCAAGATTTTATTCTAAAAATGAGTTTTTAAAAAGTGTGATTGCTGTAAAAGTCACATTATACAACGCTTAGGTTAATGACGAAAAATTTTGCGAGTTTAAGTGCAGAGACTAGCAATAAAAATTAAAATGAAACAACTAATTATATTTTAATATGTTTTATCTCTAGAGAATATAACCTGCAAGGGATGAAAATATAATTGATTATATATCATTATCGCTATAGAGATATTTAGCTATAATAAATATTTAGATTATCCCTACGTATGAAACATCGAAAATTTATTAATTCTGGAAATAAATAAATAATTAACCTCGAATCAAGAAAGAATAGCGAATGAACGTAACTTGCTTTTCTTTATTAGGATATTTGGTGTTAAAATAAAAGAAACTATACGGCAAATAAAACAATGTTTTATGAAATTATGTTGACGTTTGATGGTGTATTTATTTAAATTACAATTTAATACAACGAATAAGTTGTATAAACACACTTTTATGCAACAACATACGAAAAAAATCGAAATATTTTACTTCAATGGTGACTATAATAATAATCATGAGGATCATAATTTGGTTTAAAATAATGACTGTCATGACTGTGGACATCGTAATGAACAGGATTGTGATTAATAAGGGCGTAAACGTCCGACTTCGGGGCATGATGGTATTCTTTAGGATGTACTGCTTCATGATGTGGATCTGAGTATTCCACATTAGCATTAAATCTGAAACAAATATTTTTTTACACTAAAATCTTTAAAATTGTTGTATCTTGTTCTAAGAAACAATATTTAGAAAAGCAGTAACAATAATTCTTTAAAAGCTAAAGTTTATTATGGTTACTTTGGATAATTTATTTAATTGAGAATAAGAAATATTATTTATTAATCTGTTACGATTTATAATTTGGACTTGGTTTTGACGATTATAACTTTTCCTTACCCACTGTGTTTGTCGACGTAATACGTGACGGTACGCTTACGTCCATCTGGTTGTATTAACCAATACATTCCTTTTACATTGTCTCCATCTCTGATTTCGTGTTGTCCCTTGTAATCATGTGTATGGGGGTCATCCACTTTATATGAGAACTCGTAAGCCGGATACGTCCATGCCTAAAGATTGCGGGAAAAAAAAATTAAAATACAAAAACACTCCTATTTGTGACGATGTAACCATTTTCCAATGTTTTTCGAGACATTCATCGCTGTTTAACAATTTCATCCAATCTGGTGACTTATTCGTAACTTTTTATTTAAAAACTTTTTACTATGGAAAGTTATTGGCGCTGGCCACTAGAATTCTAACCTGATATTTAAGAATGCCATTTAACGTAAATACTACTAGCTATTTAGACTCATCTAGCGATCACTAAAATTATAGTATTATCACTTACGTATTCTTCGTGGTGTTCAGGGGCATGGGAACCAATGTGCGAAAGCTCTCCATGATGACCATGGTATTCGGGTTGATGATGCTGAACGAAACTCTGCTGTGAGATGGCATGGTGCTCGTAGCCGACGCAGCACCAAGCAAATCCCAAAAATGATATCAACTGAAAGATTTTTTTTAAATCATATGCAAAACGCATTCTCATAGAGCGCACCCGAAACATAATTTAACTATTAAAACATGTAGAAAAAGTACGAAAAGATTGTCGCCGCTGTGGGAATCGAACCCATGTCTTCGGCATTCGCGGCCTGACGCTCTAGCCACTGAGCTAAACGGCTGATAGCCACGCATCAATGGTGGACGCATCTGTCTACGTATTTGCGTGAATGGGAAGGTCCGCCCGGTTAAGTACCACGACCTCACAGAAGATTGACGTGCTAGCGATTCACCTGATGGTAAGTGAAGGCCACCGCCCATTGATATTTGCAACACCCATAGGGTTGAAGATTTTTTATAAAATGGGCCCCAGTTATCTCACTCACCAAGTTCCACTTCACGCTAATTTCTGCGAGGTTTTGGTACTTACCAGGACCGGCCTGCCCCTTTGTGCAACATCGAAGATAGTTTCGTACCTACCACAGCTAAATACTATCATTCAATTAAATTATTTCAAAAAGAAAATAAATAAGAAGAAATGAATTACCTTCCAAAACATCTTCACCTATTCATGTGAGGATTCCTAATACACTAGTGTTTGCTACAGATTACCAGGTTTTTATAGATGGATAAGAAATTAAATGATTTATTAGCTTAGTTCCTACGTACTTAAATTTAATTATGATTTCCAGGACTAGTCAATTAGAGGCGCTTGGATATACATACACATGTTTTTCTTGTAAGATACTAGTTAATGTTATAGTCCTAGTCTTGATATGTACAATACTACATACTATAAAAAGTCGTCCCGCCGTCTGTCTGTCCTTTATATGCTTAGGTCTTTAAAACTACGCAACGAATTTTGATGCTGTTTTCTTTAATAGATAATTCATACATAATACAGTAGAGAAATACTGATAATTTTAGAGGTTTCTATGCGATGTCGAAAACAAACATTCAGCATTGCACCCGTGCGTAGCTGGGGCGCTAGTGTATTATAAATATAAGATATGTATATATTGAGACTTTTTCATTTCTTTCACGACTTTTATCAAGAACTTATGTAGCCAGGTTAATATCAATAAAAAAGACACAAACTTACAAAATGTACTTTATTGCATTCTCTTAATTTACAAATATCAACTACGTTTACTAGCAGTATCGTCGTCAATTATAATGCGGTTTCGTGGAGAAGCTAATTTATACTTAAATGTGATGATGAGATATATGAACATGATGATGGGGCGACGAGTGATGTACGACAGCATTAAACCTGGAAATTAAATAAAGTTTATGTGCACTCTTAATGGTAGTCGATTAGTATTGTGTACGATTTTATGACTCTACTGTAACTACGTTAGAAAAGAAAATAGTTGAAAAAATCTTTCGAATAATAAAGCTATAAGCAAAATAGTTATTGGCCTATTGTTACTTTTGTTTTGTAGTAACCTCAAAGTTCATGTAATATTTATTGTAAAAACAGGCAAGCAGAAACGGTAACACAAAATTCTCCCGTCCATAATTTAGATTAAGAATAAAAAAATAATAAAATATGTTGTTATTGCAAACTTCTTGGTAAACCGCGGAGCTTTCTACAAAGTTTGCCTAGGTTATTACGACATGACATTCAAGCATAATATGTATTAAATACTTTTTACTGAAAGTGCTACTAAAGATATTAAAGGAAAAATTCAATTTTTCCTTAAAATTGGCGAAAGTGTACTACGGCAATCCATACCAAATCGTAATAAAAACTGGTTACGTGCGCGACAGTTCCGTTATAGTTATAAAACACGCAGAGCTCAATATTATATCAGCGGATATACGGTGGATGCAATTTTGTTGTCGGCATTTCAAAGGAAATATCTATAAATATTATTTATAGATAAAAGTTAGGAACTGCTTATTGGAGGTAAATAAAATGAGCCTGTCACGATTAAAATCAATCATATAATTTTTGTAAACTAGAGAACGAACATATTTCAATAGAATAAATACTCTAAGAAGTATATACGCTTTATGCTCTAAATAATTGTTAAGACTTTGTAATATCTAGAAACTTCATTAAAAGTAAAATACTGTTTTTCCATATTTTTAGAAATTTACAGAAATCATGATGATGTTTCATATATAAATGTGGGACTCGTATATTTCATATATAATACTTTCCGGACCAACTATTTTAAGAACTCTTTTACGGTCAAAGCCATTTGCCTATGGAACGCGCTTCCTCCACAAATCCAGCGCTCAAAAACGTGACTTAAGTTTAAAACTGACGTTAAAAATTATTATGTGTCACTGTGTTCAAGCTGATTATCACCGACGACATTTCTATATTTATTTACTTATTTTTTCTTCCTGTATATTTTTTTGTAAGTTTTTGTATAGTATATGTAGATTTATGTATGTCTATTGTATCTTATTTGGTATATATTAGTATATTATTATTATTAAAACATGTAGAAAAAGTACGAAAAGATTGTCGCCGCTGTGGGAATCGAACCTACGCCTTTGGCATTCGCATTAAGTGCAGAGATTAGCACTATAAAAAACTTTAAAATTTATAAAAGCAATGGCGACATCTCTCGTTCGAATTATCGTTGTAAAACGATATTCGAAATTGTTTGTATGCTGGAAAGGATATAACAATAGATGCGCCAAGCATTGCTTCAAATGCTAAATAACAATGTAGAAAGAAGGCGTTAAGATTTTCGTCGCTGTGGCTATCAGCCGTTTAGCTCAGTGGCTAGAGCGTCAGGCCGCGAATGCCGAAGACGTGGGTTCGATTCCCCCAGCGGCGACAATCTTTTCGTACTTTTTCTACATGTTTTAATGTTCAATCTTAAGTGCAGAGATTAGCACTATAAAAACTTTAAAATTTATAAAAGCAATGGCGACATCTCTCGTTCGAATTATCGTTGTAAAACGATATTCGAAATTGTTTGTATGCTGGAAAGGATATAACAATAGATGCGCCAAGCATTGCTTCAAATGCTAAATAACAATGTAGAAAGAAGGCGTTAAGATTTTCGTCGCTGTGGCTATCAGCCGTTTAGCTCAGTGGCTAGAGCGTCAGGCCGCGAATGCCGAAGACGTGGGTTCGAATCCCACAGCGGCGACAATCTTTTCGTACTTCGTACTTTTTCTACATGTTTTAATGTTCAATCTTAAGTGCAGAGATTAGCACTATAAAAAACTTTAAAATATTATTATTATACAAAAATACAACATATTCGTTTAGTTTATTTAAATGTTAGTATGTAAGTTTATCATTTACACCACCTACCGCTGTTCAAACTAAAATATTTTTAACCACAAGGTTGTCTGGAAGAGATCGCTCCTTAGCGATAAGACCGCCTTATTTATACCTCTTAAGTTTATAGTTCTGTAACATTTCCTTTTATGTTTTTTTTTGGTGTTCAATAAAGTATATAATAATAATTGATACTAGTTTAAGAGTAATTTTTATTTGTGTAACGCTAAAAGAATAATCATAATAATTAAGGTTAATCTGTAATCCTGGAATCTTTTAAATCTTCCCGAATCGAGGCGTTACATAATAGTTATTAAGTCTCACCCAGTGTGATCGTCGGCTTTATACTCCACCTTCCTGTAACGACCGTCGGGTTCAACCAATTCGTATCCACCTTTGACAAGATCTCCATGGCGGAACTCGTGCTGCGACTTTATGTCGCCTGTGTGATGGTCGTGGACACTGTAAGCGTAATTGTACTCAGGGAACGCCTGGAAATTTTAATGGATTTGATAATTTATAATTAATTACTTTTTATATCAGTATATATTAAATATTAGTGAAAATTTGATCAAAATTCATAAATATTGTTATACTGATTCTGCTTCATAGGCTTATGTTTGCTTTATAGACACGGCGTCATATAATATATAAGGTAAAAATTTACAAATTTTACAATGTTAGTGTCTGCTGTGTTTGCTTTGTTCCTCAGATATCGACAGACAAATATATTGAAATTTGAAAAATGGTATACATTGACAAAAGGGTCATTAAACATGTTTTTGACCGTTAGCAAAATTAATGATAATACATTCATATTAACTAAAACGAGATTAAAGTTCCTATATAAATGATTTTGACATATACAATTGCACTTCATTACGTAAATATTCAGCCAGTGAATTATGACCAACATACAGATTGTAATTATGTTAACTGGCATTATAACGCCAGGAAGTCGGTATTTATTGATGAGTGCAGTTATCGCTGTTTTGAGCTGTGGATTGGGCGAAGTTTTGTACTGAGGTCACTTTTACAAATACATTTGTTGGCAAAAATTTTGGAAAAACAACCTTATCTTATTTAAATTCTTGCATATTTTTGAATGGCTAAATGTTAGAAACAAGATCTTTTTATATGTTTAACGGGTCATTTATTTATTTAGTAAGTAGATGTACAGTACTAATCACCATACAAAATCCCATCATATGACCTTTCAAACTTAAAGTACTATACTTCTCCATTTCGTCCGATGAGGGAGGCGGCAAGGCAAAAAACATCTGCAATTCTACGGGTGTTTTAAATGTCAGTCGTAGGCGCTAAACACCAGGTGACACCAGGTGAACCGCCTGCTCGCTTGCCAACTTTTAACGTAAAAAATGCAAAGCGGCTCATGGTTTTGATGCCCTGCCACTTGTTGTTGCTGATTTTAGAAATTATCTTATTTATATTTTGCAACAAAGAAGCACGGTGATTTTGATAGTATTCTCCTTATTAAGAGTCTTACTTACATAATGATCGTGGTGCGGAACGTGATGCAGCAAGGGGACGTGATGAACGGCTTCATGATGAACAGGTGCATGGTGTATTGCGGCGTGCGGAATGAGGACGGGATGGTGCGGCCCGGAGTGCTTGGTCACTTCTTGATGGGAAACCGCCAATTGATGGGGGTGGTGATGATGGAATGGAAACACGGCCCGGCATATTGACGCCAGCACGCAAAAAGCGATAAACTATAAGAGAGTAAAAATATAAATATGTATATGTATTTTGTGTTTAGCGATATGTAGTGTTAGATTTGGTAGGAAATGTGATAAACATGTAACGTAGTTTACAAAATGATTATATAAACACTTAAAAGAATTGTTTATCTTACACAAGATTTTTTTTAATAAAACATTTTTTTTTAACTAACACAAAACAAAATCGACTTCAAATATCTGGCTCTGTATTTATTTTATAGTTGATTTTCGGGAGTTTCCTAAGTATCTCCGAATCCCAATATACATTACCAATGAAATTAATACGGGACCACATGGGAAGCACCAGCTTTCAAATAAAAAAGAATCATGAAAATCGGTGCACACAGTCAAAAGTTCTGAGGTAACACAAATAAAAAAGTACAGTCGAAACTCCAGGAGAACCTCCTTTTGTAGTTGGTTAAAAATGATTGCACTCAATTCTTTAGACGGTACGGTAAACAATATATGGTAACAGGAAATAAGCGACATAATCTTTTTGTTTATTTGTATATTAGCACTTGATGTTACGTCCACTTTTATTCATAACTTTAACACTATAACAATAAGTATGTACAATATTGTAGTTAAAACAACTTACTTTAAAAATCATAATTCTTTAATAATTTTGAAATAGAGTAAACTGTCGTTATTGTCAACTGAGAACAAAGTAGGTACTCCTTATCCCCCTGCATTATTATATATGCTGTGTAATTGTGGGAATTATTGGAGTAAAAATCCATTGATCGAACAAATTTCTCAGGTCTTGCAACAACCTGTCATAATACGTATCATAAACGTCGTTACTTCTCACGTGTGAACAGTCTTTATTGCACGTTGCCGAGAATTTGCCCCTATTATCATATGTAATGTACATTTTCCTATTTAATGTTAGTTATTTCTTGTAATATTGTTAACATTACAAAAAATAATTATTCTTCCTCAAAAACAGCAACACCATATTTTTTTCTTGTTTTCGTAATTCCAGTCAATGTTAATAATATCTAAAGACGAAGGAAGGTTAGAGTTTTTCTCCGATAGCTGTTTCGATTTGGTTTCACATAGAGTTGGTATCAACATACTAAACGGTAAACATGGTAATGGCCAAAGTAATGTGATTATTATTTTTAAAGTTATACATCTTTTGGCGCGCTTAGAAAAAATATAGAACCAAAAAGGAACATGATGAAAAGTGTTGCAAAGTGACCAACTTAGAACAACTTTTTTAAATTTACCTATAATTACCTATAAGTTATTTAATTAAACCGCTATCATTTAATGTCTTTTTCAGAAACGAAGAAACAGGCGCAGGTGATAAAATTTTTGGGTGAACAAACATGAATGGGTAGGTCAGTACCACTACCACAAACACAAGTCAGTACCACTATAACAGAAGCCCGGCGTAAAGTAGAAGTATTACACTTCTGCGTTTCGCCTCATCAGGCTACCTCACTCATCAGTGAGGTAGCCAGAGCACACTTTATTAAAAGGTGGCAACGCATATGCAACCCTACGGATGTTGCCAACGTCCAAGGGCGACGGTTATCACTTAACATCAGGTGAACCGCCAGCACGTTTGCCACTTTCTGACAAAAAAATAAATTTAGCGTTTTTTATATTACGCACAGATCGGAAAAGTACCCGTAATGATAATACATTTTTATTCGAATATTATTTTGCAGTACGAATGGAAACAATTATATCGAGTATTATTGCATACGCGTATAAAAAGATACGAGTGAAATTGATTGTAATTGAAGGTTAACAATTAATTTATGTAATTGATTGATTCTGTAAATAATCTACCGATTTCGAAAATGATTGCTTAATTAAATTCACACAGCAATTACAAACGTAATGTAACAAAGACTAAAGCAAAGCTATAGCCTAGTTCGACGACGGATGCTATTGATCTATTGTAGTTATTTGTAACATTATTATGTATTAGCACTAAGTCCAAAATTATATAACTAAAAGAAATAAACTTATAACTTATTTTTGTTAACTAATAAAATAGTATTTTTGTAATAAAATAAACGATGAGATAAATGAAAAAAATAGACCACTTCTATGAGATAGGCCCGGAAAAGTCATTAATCCGTAAATTATCGTTTAATTTAATTAAAGAGGCATATAAAATTGTACGTATACTTCTGTGTTTTGCATTTAATGTATGTCAACATGAAATTATAATGTCAAAATTATGTCACGGTGGAACTTAAACACGTGAATTGCTACATTTGCAAGTGACCGTAGTTTAAATTGTCACTTTATTGCGCGAATTATGAGTAACTACACGTTGCTACTATCAAGTGTGATCATGTCGTAGCAACAAAAATTTTATAGCACCAACCTGCTGAGTTACCCAACAAGACTCGCAATGTAATTAGACTGGTATATGTGAATGCAAGATATCACTTAAAAAGCCTAACAATGAGGCTTATATTTTCAAGTCGATTTGTGTCGCAAAACAATCACGTCACATAAAACTTGCCAGTAAGTTATTTTAAATGCATTATTTTAAATAAAAACAGATCGAAGTGTATTGATTAGATTAAATATCGTAACGATTTTCAGCAATATAATACTTGTGCCACGCTAGCGTGGATCTTAATAAGTTCTTCTTTATTCTTTGCTATACACAGAGAATTATTGAAAACAATGTTAAAAAAAAAAACGTACAAAGGCAAGCTAAACCCTAAAAAGAGTTTCTTTTTACGCTTCGTGCTTCCACACGGAACGGACGTTAATCTGAGCCGGAGGGCCCATGCCAACCGACCCGGAAGCCATTTTGCAACCGTTGTTGCTATATATATTATCTCCTTTACATCTCGGTGTGCACTGCTTGCCTCATCGTTGTCGTGTTTCGTGGTCTACGGTTAGGGAAGTCTCAAGCAAGAAGAGTGAAGAATAATTATAGAAGATAGAAGAAACGTTACAGAAGAAAGAAGAAACTTTGCCCGACTTCCGAGCGGATAGTGTTAGTGTAGTGTTGTGCTCGTAGGCAGGTTCCTGTCCGTAAGTAGAATTCTACACACATTTCTCGTCTCAGAGGCGGCATTGTAATTTTTATCTGTGTGTGCTTGTTGCATTAGGCGACAGCTAGGTACTCACCCTAGCGCACCTAAAGCGCAGGCGATTAAGGTTATTTTTTAGGCACACACCTCCCTGCCGCAAGGTGGGGAGGCCTATTTAGAAAAACACACGCCGGCGGGGCGCAAGCCCCAAAGGCACAAGCGTCGCAATGGGTTCCCTCTTAGAGGAGTTCCTGCGGGAGGAATGCCCCGAAATATGGGCAAAGTTCCTCAAATTCGCGAATGAACGGCGCCTAGCCGTCGAATTTACTAGCGACAGTCCGGCTTCACCGGCTGCCGTCTCGCCGCCATCTCCGGTGCCCTCCGCGCCAATTATTGTGTCGCCCTCTGCGACAACTAATACGCCCGTCGCGTCGACATCCGCCGCCGCGAACGAACCCAACGCGCCTTCCGCGCAAACCACCTCGGCCCCCTTCTGCGCTGTCGTTCCCGACTCACAATCGGACGGCGGCTCAGACATGGAGGTCGAAACGACCCCCGCTAATAACGCGAACGCCGACGGCTTCACCGTCGTCAAATCGCGGAAAAAGGGCAAGAAACGCCCCGCCACCGACAGCGACCCCGAAAGCGAGGCCGCCCCGTCAAACCGTCCCACCGCGACGCCCGCCAAAAAGGCAGCCGCGTCTGCCCAGTCGGAACCGACTTTCGCCTCCGAGCGAAAAATTAAGCCACCGCCACCTATTATAATACAAGATAAGGCAAAGTGGCACCAAGTTTGTTCGTGGTTTGAACGCCACAACATCCGAGACCCCCGGTCCAAGAATACGCATATGGGTATCCGCGTATACCTCAATTCTTCGGACGACTTCCGTCGCGCAACTAAATACTTGCGCGAAGCTAAGGTAGGTTTCCACACCTACTCTCTACCCGAAGAGCGCAAAACTTCGGGTCGTAATAAAGGGCGTCCCAAAAGAGTCGGATGTCGATATGGCTAAGGTCGACATCCGCACTCAGGGATACCCTGTACACGCCGTGCGCCGTCTCAGGCACCCTCGCACCCGTGTCCCTATGGACATGGTCATGGTGGAACTTGACCCTACCCCGGAAGGTAAGGCCATTTTCAACCTCAAGAGGGTCTGTGGGCTCAGTGACTTAGTCATCGAGCCCCCACGAAAATCGGGTGTTGTGGCACAGTGCCACAACTGCCAACATTTTGGCCACACGGCCAATAACTGCTTCGCTCACCCAAGGTGCGTCAAATGCACCGGTGACCACGGCACAACCGAGTGCACGAGGGCGAAAGATTGCGCAGATCCACCGGACTGCGTAAATTGCCACACTACCGGTCATCCGGCTAGTTACAGAGGCTGCGCTAAGGCCCCGAAAACTCCCGCGAGGAAATCTCCCGCGAAATCGACGTTGCCCAAACCCGCGCCCGTTAAATTCATTCCCGCGCCCGTTCCCGTCGTAAACGCCTGGGCGAAACCCCAGGTGGCCGCGCAGGTAACCGCGCCCGTAATCCCGGTCGCCTCACGACCGATCGCGAAACAGCTGCCCGCCTCTCAAACGGCGCCGCGGCCGCAGGTGCAGCCAATTCCGTCAGTTTTCGCGCGGAAAACAAAGACGACCCATTCGCGCAATTAGCGAACATTTGCAGTTTATTGGACACAATAAATAGACAGGAACTCGCCGTATTGTCCGCTAAATTAGCGGCCGCCACATCTGGCCACGAGCGTCTTAGGGCAATTAGCCAGCACAAAACGCTTGTGGAAGCCCTTTGGGCTTTTACGAGCCAACCATAAAGATCA